TTAAGATATAAATAAAAATGTTTGCTATGTCTGGAAACTTGATGTAAAAAATTCTAATCTTTAAACAATATCTGTTTCTTCTTCTACTTTTTTATATGCTGCATAATTGATATTTATGACCGAAAATTCAGTTCCCTTTAAAGAAGAAAAATCAATAAAAATAATAATTTGTTTTAGATTTCAAGTATGAATATAAACTAAGCTACGGTTGAATATATACAAAAATATTATATATTCGAATTATATCTTGTTCAAATATATAATATTGTATTAAGATTACTATTAAGATTTTTCTATTATCGAACAATTTATCTAATACTAAATTATAAAAATTATCAAAATAAAAATAGAAATCATGGCTTTTTTTAATTTCTTTTTTTCTTCAAACTAAAATAGAGACTGAACTCCGTTATGATATTTGATCAAAAATAACAGCAAAATTTTTCAGAGTGGAGCAGCTTGAATTTAGAAGCGACGAAAATGCTTCCATTCGCAGGGTACGAGCTGGAGCATCGGCCGGCAATATTCACTGGTATTTCAGTATGTTTTTTGGAGCAGTGAATATACCTGTGGCATTTGGAACAGCTAGAGTAGCAGTGAAATTTGTCACAGTGACAGTAGCAGTGAAATTTGTCACTGTGACAGTAGCAGTGAAATCTGTCACAGTAACAGTAGCAGTGATTTTTGTCACAGTCACAGTAGCAGTGATTTTTGTCACAGTGACAGTAACAGTGACTTGTCACAGTGACTGCTCCAGTCACTGTGACAACTTTTTGGTTGGAACAGGCTGTCACAGTGACTGCTCCAGTCACTGTGACAAGTCACTGTTACGTTACTTTCGACCCATCTCTACTAGTAATGTTTGCATGGATCTTGTATAAGCAGCTGCTAATATTTTGGGTGGCTGCTTCGGGAATGAAAAGAGTAGAGTAGAAGTTCGACTTCGTAACAACATTCATACATATTAATAAGTCTTTTTTTTTTTTTTTTTTTTTTNTTTTTTTTTTTTTTTTTTTTTTGATGGCAAGCCGGAGATGCTTGATCCACGATTTTCCTTGTCTTTTGCATTAAGTTCAAAATTGGATCGGCTGTTCAACGACGGTTATTAAACAAAGTTTACCCTTACTAAAGATAAATTACTCATTGATGACTAAATTGTTTCTTTCAAAGAATATATTTGCAGAAACAAGATAATTTTGTTCTTTTGAGTATTATAACATCGGTATTTTGATAGAATTTATATGGCAGCGGTTTTTTTAAAATTTTTCACTAAAGGTTTAAAAGCAATTTACTTTAAACGCAAATGCTCTACCTCCTTTAAACTTTTCTTTATGTTAACTCAGTTATTTTGTCCGCCCTTGCCGAGGAACGCTATCTTGGATAGTACTTGGACTAAAACGAGCAACTTTATCACCCATTCTAAGAAATTTTAATTAGTTACCGTTCGAGAGATGTCTATGATATGGTTTTTTCGCATTAGCTTAGTCGTTCTTATAAATAAAACTGTAGACGATTTTGTTTTAGATTTTATTGCACATTCATTACGGTTTAATATTTTTTTATAAGCTCAGTGACCAACAACGTGGCATTACGTATCAGTGTTACGTCACTGAATAATCTGAAATAACATGTTTATTTTGTTTACAGTTGTGTTTTTAAAGCATGTTATGATTGTGATAAATAATTTAAATTGAACCGTAATTAAAATAATGAAAAAATAAGATACTTACTGAACGAAAAATTAATAGAAAAAAAGGTGCTGATTCATAAGGGGAAACCGTAAACAAATCACTATATATAATTGACGTCAATAATGCTTAATTAATTTCGGTAATATGTACTACTATTACATGGCGATTTGCGTAGTTTTTAATGCATACGAAATATACTAAAATAGAAACTACTGTACTATGGTAATGGTTTTTCAATGGTCCACCGTAGGGCGTAAATATCGGGGGAAAAGTACCCGGATTTAACTCGGTAAATTCTATGGTTATCGTAAATAGCTTTTAACTCAACTTATAAATCTTTTAACCTAAAAGTTAAAAGCTAAATTTTGTTCTTTATTTTCACATATTCCTTGAGGTTTGAGTAAGTGCAGTTAAATATAATTATCCTATATAGTAGATGGTAAATTCAATGAATGTTCATATTTAATTATTTATTCTTTTGTCCAACACAAATTAAACATTTATATCCTAGAGGAATGTGCTCATAAAAAATCTGTGATGATTTGCAACTTTGACATTAACTTTTTCTTCATAATCTTACACCATTTTCGAAATTGGAACGTTAACTTCTCTTTCTTTCTTCTTTTTTTTTACCAAATCATTGGGGTCGCTTGAAATAGCATACAACCAGTTCACGGTACTTAGCTTATTTCACAAATTGTGAAATATATTCCCCAAAATGCACTAAGAAGGCTGGTGTGCAATTTTATTTCTGAAAATTTCGGCCGTAAGTAAAAAATTATAATTTTGTCATTAAAATTTGTGTAATTACACTAGATTAGATTAAAATATGATCAAAGTTCGAGTAATTCTTAATAGTTTAAGAACTTACTTATTCCGCATTGCCCAGTCATCCAGCCCATTCTAAGAAATAGCATCACTCCCCAAATGTTCAAGAGACAACGAATCTAAAGAATGAAAAAGCACATCAAATCAGGTATTAAAAATTCCCATCGCGTTAATGTTTTTCTTTCACAATGCACTGTTATTAGGCCAAAAGTATCCACACACCAAGTGGTATGGAATTGTCGTTATAAATTACGATTATGTTGGTCTTCTTTTTGTCAACCCGCACACGACTAGAGAGCCGTCCCATCAATTTTTCGTTGGTGCTCAAAGGAAGTCGCTTTCAAGCATGTATCGCAGCTGAAAGTGAGATCTGGCATTAAGGATTGTAGATTTGGCTAGTTTCTTGTACCGCGATTCAATTCGTTTTAAAGATGTTCTACTGAAATTAAATCGGAGCTCTGAGGCAGCCAATCTAGTTCTTGAAAACCCAGGTTGTCAAATCATTGACTGCACGAATTTCGATGTCTGAATGAAGTAGTTATCTTGCTGGAAGGAAAATGGGCCTTCCTCAAAATATTTCCATAGAGTTGGTTGAGCAGCCTTGTCCAGAATGTCCTCTATTTATCCCAGAGTACATAGTTCCAACCATTAGGAACTAAGGGACCAAGGCTAAACCATAAAGAACACTTCAACACTACGATGTTTTAGTTGGGTGTATGGTTACTTCTGACCACATAGTATATCATGATTTTATTCAATTGAATAAGTTACTACAAATTTATTGTTCAAATAAGACGTAAGCATTTGTGGTTATTGCTGACACTCCTCCTACTTCTTGTGACCAAAAATAAGCAAATCACAAACCCCATGCTTACGTCAGAAACTCACCCCACTTGCTTTTTGCCTTGATTTTAACAGTAGAAACTCCAAAGTTACGAAGGAATTCAAATAATCGACGTAAATTTAAATTAGACAACAATTATGTTATGATTCATTTTGCAGAATTTTGAGTAGAGCATTCTTTGGGAATCTTTTTTGCTTTCTTTGTGTGAGCGAAGCTGTTGACATGTGAAAGCACTAGGAAAAAAATTTTCCTAACATTTTCTTCACCCAAACTTAACCTTAATTTCTCCATGTGTAACTTTTCTCAAATATATTTTTAAAAAACAATTACATATTAGTGCATTATCACTGCGTTGCCCATACATTTCCTCCTATCTTGTCAGCAAGAATAAGCAAATCACACACTCCTCTCCTCATTAGTTGCTTACAATTTGAACAACCCCTTGACGGTCGCGAATAAATATTTAAGCTAGAAAAACAAACATGTTATCGAAATCTAATAAATCACAACTCAAAAAATCTTGACATCAAACCCCCTTTGATTACTAGAGGAAACAGCGAAAGTTAAGAAGGGATTATTGAAATTATTATTTTATCTAGGGATTATTATTTTATCTATAAATTAAACTAATTTTGATGACTCAACGTCACTACAGGCCATAGTTGATCACATCATATAGTGTAAAGACGCTACGAATGCATTCTCGTCCCGTTAAACTAATCAGAAGCGCTTCATTTGAAGAGAGTTAACTTTTAGTTCATTTATTAAATAATCGCCTACCTTCCTCACTAGTGATTCTACAGATTTCGATATAATTTTACCTTATTCATCACTCAAAGAATTATTTCCATTCCCGAAAATGCATTTTTTGCAATCAACATTGTGATATACTTTGTATGTAGAACATTAAATGTATGAGATAGAGAAAACAGTAAGTGTGCCTTGCAATAAAAGTAAATTTAATCAAGCCTTTATATTCACATTTTCTTAAATTCTTCTGTTCATGTAACTATAGATATATATAGATTCCTTTATTAAATGTATATTTCTTTATTTATTTCAATTACTTGTTTACTGCGCAAAACGACATTATAAAAATGCTGAAAGTAATATTCCTGTAATTTATTCATTGATAAGCAGCTTGAATGAGAATTTTGATGAATTTAAATATGAATAAAAAAACCAAATTTAAAATCTATTTTAAGTACAGGGTTATTCATAATTCCCTCCGCGGTTTCGAAGCGTTATAGTAAAAAATGAAGACGAATATGGCAAAAAAGAACATATGAAATTATTCAAGAATTATTCCGAAAGTATTTAAGTTTTAACTTAAGCAGTTGCCGATAGATGGCAGTAACATGTACCACTGAAGCCAGTTATAGTAAAGAAAAATGGCGTTTACAGGTGGAGGGAATTATGAATATCCCTGTAGATTAAGTTTCCGAACCGCTTTTCTGACTTACATATTGCTAATATGTATTTCAGATTTTGATTACCTCTATATTTAGAGGGCAAAATGCAAAAAGCCGAAGACATTGTAAAAGAGACGTGTTTATTCAGAGATTAAACCTTTTCGCTTTTGATTTCATAATATAGTTCGTAAGTTGCATTAAGAAATTAAGCATTTTTAAGGAATATACTTTGAAGATTGAATCTTCGCATTTAGAAAATTGATCATTTCGATCAAAAATTACTTAGTTCGATTTCGATGCTTCCATTATTCTTAAAAGTTAACGTTTCTGCACATATCCGACATTGAGTAAAATTAATAAACTATTATTGTTAGAGAAACTTACGTAAACACCTTTGATCCATCCAAATTTTATGGCACCCGTAAATTGACCTTTACCCGGATGAAGAGCTGGATGACACTCCTATATATATATAAAAAAAGAATTATATATATTAAGGGACATCGACCATATGTATCTATCTAATGGAATTATATCTATCTATCTATCGAATTGAATCTTAATTTTGAAAAATATTAAAAAATTAAAAAGCCAGAAAACAAGATAAGGAAAAGATATAACCTCTTCATCAGCTCACACAACTATATCCGCAAATTGTGCATTAATATTGTCAAAGCAAAATATATCAATTCAATAGTGTGAGAAGCACCAAAAAAATTAAAACAAAAATAAATCATATTAAGCGAAGCATAAAGTAAAAAATAGAAATAAAATTTCTATTCTAATCAATCTCTATTTTCTTTTCTTATTTGTCTCTTTATTGTGTTATAATTATATATATANATATAGATATATATATATATATATAATAAAAATGTAGAGAAAATCACGGAAAAAATTTAAAGATGTATAACCTTTTATTTCCATGTTTTCTCTATAATTTTAACAAGATCTTTTAATTATAATTATAATTTTAAATTGATCAAGAGCATATATATATATATGCAATGTTTTTGATCACCATGAAATAAAAATTCCTTGTCTCAAATATTGAAAATTTACATCTACGAGGTAAAGAATATTTTTATTTAACCTCTTCAGAGACCCAAGGTAGGCATTATGGTACTTAACCAAAAACAGGGCACGCACAACCTGGAAAAATTGGGTAGCTTTTCTAAAGACTATTTTATTTATATTTTGAAAGTTTATTTTTAATTTAGTTTTTTGAAATGACTTTTGAAATTTTCTTACCCTGATAAATATTAAATATTTTTAACTTTTAAGAAAGAAAAATATTCATACTTCAAAAATATGTATATTTTTTAAAATTTAGCTATTGCTTCAAAACAATTTCCAGGTCGTGCCATATCGGGTCGCCGAAGACTCCCAGTGTAGTAAATGGTGACTGGTGAACATTAGATCTGTTGGGTCACAAAATCCTCCATTATTAATCCCAATATTAGTAATCCCATAATCCCAATAGTAGTAATTTTTATAAATAAATTATTGATTGTCAATTAATAATTGGTTACTTAAAGCAATAGAAATTATTTGTTTTACCTAACATTAAACAATCAAAATTTAATCGGTATAATTAAAAATTGTTAACTAGTGTGTCTAAAAAATGTGTTTTACTTCACATTTCAATAGAACAGGTTTTATTAATTATTTTAAATATAACTGAAAAAAATATAAAATTATCTCGATAATTTTAGAATGTATATATCTTAATTAAACAAGGTTTTCCGTATTATTTGCTCTTAATTTTTTGTTTTAGATGTAAAAGTCGCCAATGGCAATTTGGCAATGGAAAAGTCGCCAATTAATTTAGACCCACGCCAAAATGTAATGAAAACGACCCAATTTTTTAGGTTTACAACTACTATTGCTCAACTCCTTAGCCTTGTAATTTTGAACCCATAATTTTTGGACAAGGGAACTCCTGGATTAAGTTTTGGGAGAAATTTGCCTTCGTGGAGGATTTTTTGATGGAACTAACACTCATTTGTGTTACATGGGGAGGAAAACCACGAAAACTTCCCATGGTCAGTCTGACGATGAGGGGACTATAACTCATGATCCGGTCTACCACTGAGGACATTTTACATAAGCACTAAGGGGCTGTGCGAACCGGGTGCAGAATTCGTAATGACCAGCCATTGCTGGGATTCGAACCCGGTTCACCTCACTGGAAAGTGAACGCTCTATCCCTTTAGCCACCACGGCTCTACGTTAATCATTTTATTTTATAACCTTCGTTGAGCAGCCGACCCAATTTCATGGGTTTACGACTACTTACGTTCAACTCCGTAGCCTTGTGATTTTGAACCAATCCAGAAGACAAGGAAACTCCCGGATCAGTACCCCCAGAGGTATTGATTTGTTGTGGGAACATGGAGGACTTTGAGACTCGACAGATTTAACGTGCATCAGTCACCATTTACTACACGGGGAGTCTTCGGCCGGCGAGGATCGAACCCACGACCTCTTGTATATGGGCCCAGCGCCCTACCGACCAGGCTATCCCGGCCCTACGTTAATCATTGTACTCACCTGACAAGTTGAATAAAAAATAATAAAATAGCAAATAACATGCGATAAAATCCCCTTTTGATTAAAAAGAAATGTAAGCTAGTTGACGTCTGACCTATTATCTTTTAAATATTTTTTTAAAAAAATAAAAAACAGGAACATTTGAAGTTTAGTTAATAACTTCGGCTAATGCTGAACCAATGAGAAATGTTTGAACGATTTCTTTGGACAAAAACTAACCCACTAGAGCAAAAATAAGGACAAAAATAACCTTAACCCCACTGCCTTTTGATCTAACATGCGAAAAAAACTTTAAGTAAATATTTATTATTTTTTATTGTTTTACTTAGTAATGGTCGAAAAAATTTTGACAAGTAAGGTATACAATTTCTTCCATCATTTTAAAAAATATAATAAAATATAAAAGAATAAAGCAAAATTAGATTTCAGAAAAGTCAGATGTTTAAAATTTATTTTTTAAGGCTCAATTTTGCTCAAATTTTGCATTTTACTCAAATTTTGTAAAACTAAATTCTTCAAACAGATGCAAAAAAAAACTGTATACCTTACAATTCGAAATTTTTTCTATCATTGTTAAAAAAAATTTAAAAAAATAAATATTTCATAAAAGTCATATTTTGCGTATCTTTGGATAACGGAATTTTATAAATGTGGGGAAAATTTTTTAAATTCGCTTAAAAAATTCTTTAGATACGGCGAAATACACTGAAAGTAAAACTTAAATTGAAGGGTCAAAACTTTGGAGCTTTCTCCTGACCAAACTATGGGGGCCATGGTTCCCAAATTGCAGCTAACCCCCATAATATGGGGTCAGAAGTCTGAATCCGTCGAAAAAAGGCATGTTTATTCAGAGATACGTTTTTTGGCTTCTTAAATATCGTCTGCTCGTATTAATTAGCATATTTGAAATCACCCCCTCGAGTTATTAAGATTAAGTCCTAGAACGTGAAGATCAGATCATTAGATCAAAAGTTATTCAGGGAAGTCCATTTTTATTTTGCTCACTGTATACGTATTTAGTTGAAAAAAACTTAATAATTGTCTTGTCTGTATTTAGTTGAAAAAACTTAATAATCTGAAGTCTTACTCTGACCTACATTTAAATAGTGACGTATTTTCATGATTTATCACATAGAATGACGAAATTATAAATAAAAATAGATGATAGCATAAATTTTGATTGTCAACAGTCATTTTAGTTATGCACGTATATTTTTATTCCTTCCAAGATAATTTATGTTTTTGGAATTATGTCGTTGTTTTTTTATACTACAATGACTCGACAGTCTGTTGTATTTATTAATCACTGCATTTCGTCAGATAGTGGAAATTTATTAAACCGAATTCTATCACTTCGTTCGGTATTGAATGGAGTGATTTAATTTTAGAAGCACCTTATTAATTAGCTTATACATTTCTTCACATTCTCTTACGTAATCACTCATTTTGACTAAAGATGCTTTAAAGGATGCTGTAATAATAGGATCACATTTTAGGAGAATGTTACAGGAATAATGATAATGGTTGGAGAGAAAAAAAACATTGTAAGGAAGATTACTAACGGGACAATCGCAGGTATTAATAATTTAAAGGACATATGTGGAGATAAAAAACACAATAATTATTTATTTATAGCCTGGAGAATATGGGGAAAGACAGGTTAGTGGGGTGAAACCAGATACATCAATTTTAGCGAAATTAGTGTTGTTAGTTGTTAATATTTCTAATTCCACTCGCTAATATCAGCAAGCCTGTTTGATGAAACCTAGAGAATTTAGAGATTCTTACTTTTTTTAAGTGGCGCCATCTATGGCCAAGAACACGACTTCCGCCCCATATATGCCTTACAACCTGTTTATAGGGAGCACCCATTCATTCACAGATCGATCACCAATTCAGTAACCCCGGCGGTACAATTTGTTATGGGAACATGGAGGACTTTGTGACCCGACATATTCAGCGTGGATCAATCACCTTTTACTACACGGGGAGTCTTTGACCGGTAGGGATTGAACCCATGATCCCTTGGACATGAGCCCAACATCCTACCACCGAAATTAGTTCTGTTTTCTACTCTCTGAATTACTTTCTACGAAGTAAGAATATTGTTGTTGAATTCATGTATGATTTAGTTTGTTTTACTCTGTCAACTTTATAATGTTCTTTCGTTTTTAAGCTATCCTTATTTATTAATCATTACAGTTACAAAAAATCTTTTTAGCCCAACGTATGGGTTTACTAAGGAATCATACCATAACTAACAATAACGATTTGGTCCAGTAGTAGTATAATTCTGTTTAGATGACGCCGGCTCTCGTGAAGTTGCTATATGACCAGGGAGCGATTTTCTAATCCAGCGACTTTTAATGACTCGCTCTCCAGCTTGGCTTCTGAATCTCCTCTGTAGAGTTTATATATCCACCTGGTCTTACTACACTAGTTGGGTAATATCAGTAGAGCATTTATGACATTTTAGAAAGTATATACTGTACTTAACTAAACAATAAATATCTTGATTAAATCTAACAGTTTCTGGGTCAAACAGTTTAGATCCAACAGGTCTTTCAATTTTATCTATCCGGTTTAACCACACTTTACCATATATGGCAGTACTTTTACTTTCGTTACTTGTACCGCCGGAACAAGTAAAAAGTACGTACTTTTACTTGTACTTCGTTACTTTTTAAATTTAGTACTTTTACTTGTACTTTCGTTACTTTTTTAGGGAAAAAGTACAAGTATTT